CCTCTCTTCCAGCTTTTTGTAAGCGGATCGATGTTCTATGCTCAGGATCTATCATGCTCTGATTCGATCCAAACTGGACTATGGGTCTTTGGTCTAGGGTTCCACCAAGACCTCGGCCCTGAAGATGCTGGACTCCATCCACCATCTGGGGCTTCGGCTCTGCACCAGTGATTTTTGCACTTCACCAGTCCAGAGTTTGTACACTGAGTCCCATGAACCTTCTCTTCACCTCCGTCGTTTGCAACTTTCTTTACAATATTCTACTAAGCTTCGATCCTTACCACGGCATCCCACCTGGGATTGTGTTTTTCTTCCTCAGTGGGCAATGCTCTTTCAGAACAGACGGTCTGCTATTCCTCCGTTTGGCCTTTGTATCCGGGCACTACTGGTTGAATTGGGTCTGGCATTGGATAACATTGCTGTCCCCAATGATCAGCCCATTCCGCCATGGCTTACTACCATCCCTTCCTGTGACCTTTCCTTGAGTCATCTGGAGAAGGCGGATACTCCCGATTGGAAGTACCGTCTTCTTTTTGCTGGACATCTTTCGAGCCATTCTTCTCTTCCCATTTACATGGATGGTTCGAAATCGGGTGACTCTGTAGGTTCTGCCATGGTTTGCTGTGGCTCGGTAGTTGCTCACAGGATCCCCTCTACAGTTTCTGTGTTCACTGCCGAGTTGTATGCTATTTCTCTTGCCCTGGATCATGTAGAAGCTATGCAGGTACAGTAATTGTACTATTTACACTGATTCTCTTAGCTCTCTACTGGCCCTGGAATCGCTTAACGTTAGTTCTCACCCTGTTCTCGTCGGTATTCAACATCGATTGGCCTACTTTTCTCTATCTTCTATTTCCATCCAGTTTTTCTGGATCCCTGGCCACGTCGGTATTCACGGGAACGAGCTCGCTGACACCGCAGCTAAGTCCGTCTGCTCTGGTGCCATCACGGCCGTGCCTGTCCCATACATGGACTACGGTCCTGCCTTCAAGGCGCGGCTTCGTGCCAGTTGGCAGTCGACTTGCGGTGAGCAACGTCATAACAAGCTTTTCGAGATCAAGCCTTCTGTTGGTCTTTGGCCGTCTTGCTTCCGTAAGGATCGGAAGGAGGAAGTAGTCCTGGCAAGGCTACGCATTGGTCATAGTTTTTTAACCCATCGTTTTCTTTTATCAGGTATTGACCCACCGATGTGTAGCCATTGCGACACTCGAGTCACAATAGCCCACATTTTACTGTCGTTACGACCGTGAGCGGCGGCACCATTTTAGACACATTTTATCTAAAAGTTTACCCCTGACGCTGGACAGTGTCATTGGTAATGGTGACACTGTCCGACTAGATTGTATTTTTAATTTTTTACACACCATACGTCTTTTTAATTCTATATAAATCTTTTACCGACATCTATTGATTTTAACTCGCTGTATTTTTACATTTTACTTTAATTTACTTTCATTGTTTTTACCAGTTGTTTGGCGCAGATAGCCTCGCTGCTTTGCGCCATAAAGCACCAAACAACTAACCATCCCTCTGCTTGTTACTAGCATAACGTGTTTTTTTCTTTTCATTTGTTTTGTTATTTCGATTATACAGCTCAATTATTTTTCCCGACAAAACGTGAAATTTCGTGGAAATACAAATTATGGGTAAAAGAACTTGCAATAAGGAATATGTTACTTTTAGTTACTGTAAAACTGAAACAAATAAGGAATCTATTACTTTTAGTTACTGTAAAACTGAGACAAATAAGGAATCTATTACTTTTAGTTACTGTAAATCTGAGACCAATAAGGAATCTATTACTTTTAGTTACTGTAAATCTGAGACCAATAAGGAATCTATTACTTTTAGTTACTGTAAAACTGAGACAAATAAGGAATATATTACTTTTAGTAACTGCAAAACTGAGACAAATAAAGAATCTTTTACTTTTAGTAACTGCAAAACTGAGACAAATAAGGAATCTGTTACTTTTAGTAACTGCAAAACTGAGACAAATAAGGAATCTGTTACTTTTAGTAACTGCAAAACTGAGACAAATAAGGAATCTGTTACTTTTAGTAACTGCAAAACTGAGACAAATAAGAAATCTGTTACTTTTAGTAACTGCACAACTGAGACAAATAAGAAATCTGTTACTTCTAGTTACTGTAAAACTGAGACAAATAAAGAATCTGTTACTTCTAGTTACTGTAAAACTGAGACAAATAAAGAATCTGTTATTTTTAGTAACTGTAAAACTGAGACCAATAAGGAATCTATTACTTTTAGTAACTGTAAAACTTAGACCAATAAGGAATCTATTACTTTTAGTAACTGTAAAACTGAGACCAATAAGGAATCTATTACTTTTAGTTACTGTAAAACTGATACAAATATGGAATCTATTACTTTTAGTAACTGTAAAACTGAGACCAATAAGGAATCTATTACTTTTAGTTACTGTAAAACTGATACAAATATGGAATCTATTACTTTTAGTAACTGTAAAACTGAGACCAATAAGGAATCTATTACTTTTAGTTACTGTAAAACTGATACAAATATGGAATCTGTTACTTTTAGTAACTGTAAAACTGAGACAAATGAGGTATCTGTTACTTTTAGTAACTGTAAAACTGCACGAGTTTCGTTCTCTGTAACGTCTAGATAAAAGCACTGAAAAAGTAAATAAACCAAAACAAAAACGATGTGATATTGGATGACAGCTACTCATCCATTTTTTTTTTGGGGGGGGGGGGTATAATTGTTGTTCTCTTACAGGTTCTTACAACTAGTGATTGGGGATTTTTTTTTTAGTCAGCAAACAAATAAAAGTATTCCAAGGTGAAGAAACACATATTAGTTATGATATCGTGGCAGTAACTTCTGTATTTAATGTTGATGTATATACGTACGTCCAAGTGGAACGTCATGTCACCGGAACGCAAACATCCCAGGAGGGGGTTCGAAATGATTTTCTTTAAGATATTCGGCTTTTCATTTTCATTATATTCGTGCCTGTCTTCAATAAATTGTATTGTAATAACAGGTTATGTTCTTATATCCCTCTTGCGTCACTAGAGTTTTTATTTGGAGAGTTTATTTGTTTATTTATTGAATTTCGCGCAAAGCTACTCGAGGGCTATCTGCGCTAGCCGTCCCTAATTTAGTAGTGTAAGACGAGAGGGAAAGCAGCTAGTCATCACCACCAACTCTTGGGCCACGCTTTATCGACTAACAGTGGGATTGACCGTGACATTATAACGCTCCCACGTTCGGTGATCTTAAAGCCACGACACGGGCGCAAGGCTGAGGGGCATTATTAGAAATGATCTCTTGCAGTTTTAAGCATTCTGGGGAATGAATGTCTTTTACATAGGTAAACGCCAAGTACTTGAAAATGGAGGGGTTGTTGAATAAGATCTTAATTGTTTAATCATTTCAGTAGGCCGTGGCTTTAAATCGACAGGCTAAGGTAATATTTCTTAGTTTGGTTCATTTTCTGTGTTTAGATGTTTGTTTGAAGTTAAGCACAAAGCTACACAATGGGCTATCTGTGCTCTGTCCCCCACGGGTATCGAAACCCGGTTTCTAGCGTTGTAAGTCCGCAGACATGCCGCTGTGCCACTGGAGGGTCATTTTCTGTATTTAGATGTTTGTTTGAAGTTAAGTACAAAGCTACACAATGGGCTATCTGTGCTCTGTCCACCACAGGTATCGAAACCCGGTTTATAGCATTGTAAGTCTGCAGACACGCCGCTGTGCCACTGGGGGGTCATTTCCTCTAACCACCGAGAGGAATTTCAAGTTTTAATATAGAAAAAAAAAGGTTTCAGAATTACAATTTTCTGGTGAGAACATGCCTCTCCGTGCCACTGTGAAGTGATGCTATTGTATAGATCTACTAAATTAAAACTATTCATTAAGTTCGACCTCGTATCTTCCAACTTTATAAACTATTAACCGAAGGTCCAGAGTTTTATTATATAAATATGTTTATCTTACCTTTGCATTGTTCGCAGCTATTATTAACGGAATTAACGAAGCTCTTTGGTTCTTGTGATGTCGATTTTTCTTTATCTAGTAAGCTTTTCTCTCGAGATATTGTTTTTATGCCTGTAATGTTATCCGCATCAACGGAAACAAGTTGAATAGGGCAGTTTGAACTTGAGTTTGAGTTCGGAGATAGTGGCGAATTATCATTTTGGCTAATATTACTATTACACTCAGCGCCCTGTGGCGATGGTCCGTTATTTGCTCCAGCAGGCACGCAGGTAGTCAACACGTTTCCTGCCATATTAGCAACCTCTACACTATTGGAAGTATCGGGAAAAAAACCCGCAACACCAGAAGAAGTGTGTTCAGCAAGATGTCTTCGTGTTACTGCAAGTTCTTCTTGTAAAATCAACAGTTGATGTCGAGCAGTTAGTATTTCTGACTCTATTTGGGACGCCATAGCTTTGTTCTCTTGCATCATTCTTCGAAAGTTTGAGTGAGCTTCCACCAGGTGGCCCTGTATAAGGCTCGGCGACGATAGAAGAAGATCTTGTCTTCGCTGTTGTTGCCATTTGATGTGCCTTGTCAAGTCTTCGGTGGTATCACTATTCAAATGTTCTAAGGTAGAAGCGAGAGTAGAATGATCGATACTGTCGCTCAGCAACTTCAAAGACCAAACTGCTAAAGAGAAAAAGAGAATTAATTCAATTGTTTTCTTGAATATTCGTGTAAACGCAATTTTTGTAATCTTTAATATAGTATCTGTACATTGATCCAACTTGAACGGAGATCGAAGAGAGTGAAGCCAAAACAAAAGAGCATGTATGTGGGTTAGATAGGTCAAGTCGGAGACCCTTAAGGTTCAGACATGGGTCATCAATGATGTAGAAATGCTGACCACAGGGAGTGCAACCAATTAAAGCACCTACTACATATGCGGCTACTCTTAATCGATTTGGTTTGTTTGTAGTTAAGCACAAAGCTGCACAATGGGCTATCTGTGCTGTGCCCACCACGGGTATCGAAACCCTGTTTTCAGCGGCATAAGCCTTCAGATTTATCGCTGAGCCATTAAGGGTGCTCTCTTAATCGAATAGCGGGATTGATTGTCATGGTTGTAATGACCCTACATTTAATAAGGCTTAAACGTTTAAACTTTCTTTTTGTTTGAGGAGATGATGTTTCGAAAAGGAAATAACAGTTTAAAACTGTCACTTTGCAGAACAAACAAAGAAGACCAAAGACGTATTCGTCATTGCCCATTGAGTGTTGTAAATAAATTATTCATTACAGTATTTTATTAATTAATAAAAAATAAATTGTACAACAGTCTCTGAGGGTATGGCCACTTTGGCATGACACTGTTACATGTATATATAGCCTGTTTCTTTATTATTCCTATACGTAAAAACAAACAAAGAAAAAAACCTACAATGCAAGATTTGAAAGCTGTACAACATTGTAATATAGTGATACCATACCAGTCAACATTGTAATATAGTGATACCATATCAGTTAGCCGGAGACACGAGATGGCTCTGTGGTAGACCTATGGATTTTAGATCTGGCGAGCCGAGTTCGAATCAATCCGATACTATAAAGATTTCCTGAATTTTAAACTGAAGGCGCGTGATAAGAGTGACAGTCAATCTCCTAACTTGGATGGTGAGTAGAAGGGTGCTGCTGACTGGCTGGCTTCCCTCTGGTCAGTAGTTCAAAATTAGAGATAGAGATATGTAGCTTTGGTATAAATACAATACAAATACCAAATAGTTAGCTGGAAATATCGCGAATGCAGGACAGTGTGTTCAGCTTAGTTCCAATCACAGCTTTTATATAAATTTTATGAATTCAGTAATACTTTGCTTATCTCCGTTTATTTTAGTCTACCGATGATTTCTAGAAGATATAATTTGCCTTGAGTAATTAGGCATTGCTTTTGAAACCGATTTTCTTTTTTTTGTATTAAAAAACTGAAACTAATTAATGGCCTACGGTGCTGCCATGTTTTATCTAAATTATTTTGTAAAAGCAAGGTAGCTTATGAATAAATTAAAGACAAATATATAGAAAAAAATATCCAAACACTTTTTGCGCTAAAAAAGCGCTCCAATCAGGCTATAGAAAGCCGTAGAGACTACGTTTGTTGTAGATGCAATTTAAAGTCAAGTTTCTGTAGAAAGTGGATATACGTATACGTTTGCATTGAATGATATGTACTTTAGCTTCAAGCATTTGGTTGTCATTTCTTCTTCTCTAACACGACACTCACCTAAAATAGAAGAGACTCCAATACGTCACTAAAAGAATAAAACTAAACCCTTCAAGGCCAGAAGAAGATGGGAATGGCGTAGGTCATCAGAACTTTTTCCTTACCGATCAAACCTGATACACTTGATATAATAATGACATGATGTTACTGATACACTTGATATAATAATGACATGATGTTACTGATACACTTGATATAATAATGACATGAT